AATATTCTTTGTAGCAATGTCCTTGCATGTGAGGCCATTTTGATGCAAATTGATGATGGCTGCACATGTTTCTTTGGAGGTAACCATTGCTAACAAGAACACAGTGATTGGAAGCGCTTCTATCCTCCTTTTATAGCAATCAGTCTGCTCTTACAATCTAATTAGTATGATAGTGATTTTACCTGACTAGTACTCGTTCACACTTTCTCATGTGCTGCTGATATGATTAGTCAATTAATGTTAGCTGGTCATTTTGTGTCAGGATAAAAAAAACAGTGACTTTTTGTGTGTGTGTGTGTGAAAAGTAAATTTTTTGGCCAATGAAGATTTTAGCAATTATTTAAAATGCATCTGATCACTCTACACAATAATCTAGAAACAATATGAATGAATACTACAACAGATTAAGCAGCAAACTTTGCAAAGCACAAAATTTATGTCACTGCCAAAACTTTTGGCCATGACTGTACTTACACTAAGCAACGTATTTAGCATTATAACGGGTCTGGTTCTCACCTTATTGATGTACAGGAGTTGTAGTTTTCAAGTCAAGCTGCAAATTCCTCTGTCAACTTCAGCTGCCGCCATCATCTGATACGTGCAGCACAATCAAGTGAAAATCGCTGCACGGCATAAACGATAAATCTATTGGCCAGTCTGTTAGAGATTTCTTCAAAACAAAAAGTTGCATCATGAATGACGTAAGCGTGCTCCGGCCTGGAACATTAAAGTGCAATATGAGTGCAGGCCAGTGGGGAGGGGGGACAATCGCGCTCAGGCTCGGTTCAAGGCAACCGTGCCTAGTGTGAATACACCCTAATGGTGCAGCAGGAAAAAGTAAACATGAGAATTATTCAGGATGTGTTTATGACCATGTGTATTAGAGCATATATTGCAATTTAACAATTTACTGAATGACCATACCACATCGAACAGTTCTGTGTTCAATTTAGGCCTACATAGCCTATTATTTCTAAGATGATTTCTACTTTTATGGAAAGAACGCTATATTTTAAAAATAACTAAACACTGCTTTTGTTGTATATTGTGGCTTTATATATGGTCAGACACCAATACATAGTCAAGCGTCAAAGAAATCCAAAGGTGATTTCTCATTAAAAAGCTTCAAGAGAACATCATCACAGCACTCAACAAGAGAGACGTTGAAGAAATGATCAAACAAGCGCAGTCTGCTCTGATTGGCCAGCTGACCCAGTGCATTGTGATTGGCCGAACACCACAAGCACACGTCGGAAATTCGCACCTTACCATAGTCACGAGCTTCAGCTTTCAACATAAATGTAAAGACAGTTAATAATGTCGTTAGTTTTACCATCAGTTCAAGCCCGAAAGGGGAACTTGCGTGAAAGACACAGTGATTATGCAGTACACAAGCCGCGGTTAAAGGGGTCATATGATGCGATTTCAATTTTTCCTTTCTCTTTGGAGTGTTACAAGCTCTTGGTGCATAAAGAAGATCTGTAAAGTTGCAAAGACTAAAGTCTCAAATCCAAAGAGATATTCTTTATTAAAGTAATGGGTCAGCCACACCTAATTTAAAACGGGTCGTTCTAACACGCCCCCACATATCTACGTCACGATGTGGAAAGATTTGCATAACGCCGCCCAAATGTTCACGCAAAGAAAGAAGGCGTAACTTTTATTCTCCCTGTTTAAGACAGCTGACGTGCTATGATTTCTGACAGGCAGTTCACTCTCCTGTGATGTGACCCTGTTCCCCTCACACATACACACACACACCCACACGACGCCGCGCAAAACTCTGTATTTGAATAGTCAATAGCAAATACTTAAACTAATAATAAAACATACTTACAGTAGCTGATTCAGAATAAGCGCCAGATTGTCATAGTAAAGTCGGAATTGACCCATTTTCTTTTTAGAAATAGCCTTTGCACAGCCAGCCTTGTACTTGTACTCCTAGGTTCACAAAACTGTCTTTCATAAAATATGTTGCACAAATTCGAACATCTGGGTTGTGCTGTTCTGTTGTAACTAAATTTTAACCAATGATTCCTCATTGCATCTACTTTAGGAAGGCCAAATAAAGTGCTTTGCTTTAGCACAGAAACACACAGCGTCTCCCTGACATGGCTGCATCAACACTACTGCTGTTCCTGAAACCACGCCTTCTTTCTTTGCGTGCACATTTGGGCGGCATTATGCAAATATTTCCACATAGTGACGTAGACATGTGGGGGCATGTTTGAATGAGGCGTTTTTGCCCGGTCTGGATCAGCCTTCTCTTTTAGATAGAATAAATCCTTTTGTGGGAGATTTTGAGCTTTGTAACTTTGCAGATCTTATGCACTCTCTCTCTCTCTTGTGGCTAAGCAGTAACTGAGTGCCTATATGATATTACAATGTAAGTTATTGGTTACTACCTGCTAGCTAGCTTCACCTCACTGACATTGAATGCTGGATATTTTCATTTTCTCCATCATCATCTGCTCTTTGTCACAAAATAAGCTTAATAATACATCTTCAGTAGTTAAAAACTGCTGTCTTCTCGTGGTTGACCTACCAGGCTTACTTGTTGTGTCAGCCATTTTGACTCATGTGCTATCCACAGGCTTTACCCACAGTACATTTCTCAATGCCAAAGTGGCGTAAGTGCAGTTACACCCTTTTGGCACCAACTGGCTTAGTATTTTCAGTGTTAAGTCTTTTGGTTTCTAATGACTAACTCCAAAATTATTATGAATTCGCTTGTGTCCTTTTGGCAGAGGAAAGAGCTCATCAGGAGCTTTCTTTTTATTTTAACTCAGTTTCACCCAAAATGTCACTTACGCCCTTCTGGTTCTCACCCCTCGATGTGTTAAGGATACAAATCTTATCTCATCCCATATAGCAGATTTTTATTGTAAACTAACAACCCATTGCCTATTCTTAATTCTATTTCTTAAGTAAGAGCCATTAGTGTTGATTTCAAACTAATGTTTTTAAAAATTTTCCTTTGAAGAAGTTAAAGAAGGCATTAATAAATTAAATAATAAACCTCTAGGTAGTGATGGGTTGACTTCAGTAAAACTTTTTTTTTAAACTACTCATTTTGGAATCTGTTCTAGAAAAATAACTTAAATTTGGCCTTGATAATTTGATTGATGAGTGCTATGATACACCGTTTCAAATGGACTAAACATTCTGATGTTTGAAAATCATTTAATCAATTATAACACATTCACATTGAAATAACAATACAAGCAAACACAAATTCTGATGGACTGGGACCAGAAATTGGCTTTTAATTTATAGCCTATAATACAAAGTATTCAACACAATTAACATCACTTCAGGTGGTTAAATTCATTCTGGCATTCTCACTGATGTTTACCAATTAGTATCGGTATACTTTTGTAAGGATCCACCCGCCAGCCCAAAAAGCGGAATCCAGCGGCCTGGTCGAAGGTTTAATGCGTATTCAGTCTTTTACTTGCGCTTCTGAATTTATCAGGACTTAGTTTCCATTTTGTCTAGCTCCGTTTTCAATCTGACTCCAATTTCACGTGATCATTAAATTTAGGCAATATTTCTAATCAAAAGCTGATCACAGATATCGATTGTTTATTAATTTAGATATTTGAGTATTCTGTAAATCCCATACTTTCAATTATTCGTTCATCAGGGACCCAATGCCGCTCAGAGATACGCGCCCCGGGTTTGCGGTAAACTCACGGACGCAAACTAGCCAGTCTGATATTAGTCAGAGGGTGTAATAAGTTAACTAATACCTTTTTGTCGGTTGCCTACTGCTCACTCATACAAAAAGTGTACTTGATTTAGCCACTTCCATACATCTTGCTAAGTCAGTGATAGACAGAAATCAAAAGGTCTTCAGATGAAGTGCCTACTGCTCCTTTCATTCATGCGCCTTTAGTTTGTACTATCCTGGACACAGATTTACGGTAGCATTAGCCTCCTATGATTTACTGGTCATAATTAATTCAAGAAAAGTTCAGAATAAATCAAATATAACAATTTATTATTAGTCAGGTAAAATTGTATCATGCCAATTACATAATGAAACAATTAGAAGCCAATTTAGAAAGGATAATGCAATTGTGAAACATATTGTATCCGCGTGGCAACATGGTTTACTGTAGCTATATTGAAAATAGCCAAGTGTTCCATGCAGGAGACAAACAAATTTTACATAGTCACACATGTAACAGTGCTCCAGGGTTGCACCTGGCTGGAGATAGATAAACATTCCCACAGGCCTAAAGGGGGACACTCCCCCTTCTCAGCAGAACATAATTCTACAAAGGTTTTGAATCTTTCTCACAATATAAATGACTACTTTGAAATTAAAACCAATTTACCAATCGCACAAAGACCTTTAAAATGACACTAAACATGAAGGGGAAAAACAACAGGTTCACAAGATACATGATATGTGGGATATGCGTATTCTTAATGAACTTTGGGTGAAACCTTTTGGGGGGAAAGAGGGAGAGGCAGAGAGGCCAGGGGGAGAAGGGGGTCGTAAATGGGCGAGGAGAGAGGCGTTGTTTGCTCTCTTTGAAGATTTCTTCTCCAGATAAGTTTTATTGTTTTATTGCATGGTGTCTGTTTGGTGTGAGTTCCTGAGTATTGGTTTCATGAAGAGTTAATTTCATAAGGAAATAAATTCAATCCTTTCACTTTCCCCCAACCTGTCTCATACTGGAATCATTACAACCAATATTCTGTTTATTCTGATTTTGAAATGCCCAATTTGTAAGGTAATTTTCATCCTTTTCACCTCTTCATCACTGCTTTGTAAAATTTTTGCTTTGGGACACTGGACAAGCCTTTTTTCCATCATGTTCTTCACATTGTTAACATCATGCACGCTGTATTTTGAAGTGACAGGAGAGTAAGTTCACTTACACTAATTATTTTCAATCAATTTACAGATTTGAATTTTTATTTACCACATTATTAATGGTTAAAACGTGTTTGTGTATAATTCCAAAGTGGTAATTTGGGGCCTCCTAGCATCCTTGTGAGTCTATGTGCCAGACATACTCTGCACCCATAATGGCGCCTCTATGTAAATATATATAGTCATGTATATCAGAAAAAATTAAGATAAAAACAAAGTGGGCAAAGACAGTGGCATAATTCACTTCCTTTTCCATGGTATCGGAATCAGTCTATGAAGGTGGTGGAGCACAAGCAGCACTGACATCCTCATAATCAGGTTCCTCTCTTTGGGAATTCTGGGAAAGGAAGATATTATAGTACTGTGAGCGGTTATTATTTCAGTTTGAAGTAATTTCAGAATCATGTTTTCAGATTTTAGAAAACATGGTTCTAATATATGTTACACTGTATGTTTTGGTCCTATATGGACACCATGTAACTTTGGTAAAACAAAGCAAAGATGGCCATTCTGAATCTGTTAAACTGAGTTTTTCACTATGTTCAGCTTGTGTTGCATGGTTGGTGTAATCTGAACACGTACCTTTGACGTTTTATTTTCAGATGCTATGGTTTGGACTTCTGCATCAGTACATTGTTTGCCGCTGAAGTGCCATGAAATATAATCATATATTTAAAATTAACAGCAGTGAAAAGCGAAGCTGCCAGAAATAGAGCCAGCATCATGAAAGCAGCATGTGGAAGCTCATAGATCAAAATTAATAGAATAAGTAGTGATTTAATTTATTATGAATATCAAGATGGACCATTTTAATTAGCATTCAGATTTTAGGAATGAAATCAACTGTGTGAAGCAATCACATATAATCCTGTATGCATATTCTAACAATTTATTCGAACAAATTGTGTTTTAGAATTAAAAGTACAAAATACAAATACAATATTGGATGAAGTGTTAGTGTTCATTCAACTTGATGAGGACAAGGAATAAGATCATTAGTCTATTTATTGCTAAATGTAAGCAATCCAAAATGATCTGGCCCTTAGCAGTAATGGATCATTAAAGGGGTCATGAATTGAGAAACCACTATCAAACCAAGCTCTGAAAACGACTTTCAGATTTTGTCACATTATTATGAAGTAATAGTGCAACAAAACCCCACCTCTGCATAATAAAATCAACGCCTACTTCTACATCATCACGTCTTTGGCCCCGCCCACTGGTGCATTAGTGAGATGAGAAGGAGAGAAGAGCAATACACGATAAATGGACGAAAAATAGCATTACCTTCCAAAGAATCCTAATCCTAGGAAAGTGATTATTTATTTTGAACTATGTGTATGTTTAAGTAGAGCATTATTTGTTTGTTCGGTGCATTTCACTGTGGATTCTTTGGTAAATCAGTCACAGTTTTGATGCAGGCTTTGCAAACAGACTTATACTGTAAGATTATGGACCTGACAAGTAACGTCTCGGTTACGAATGTAACCCTCGTTCCCTGAAGGAGGACCAATGAATTGGGATCTCGCTTAGAGGGACCAATCTACTTCGAGTGTAAACTAAATGAGCCAATGCACATTGGCATTCGATTATTGCATCCAGCTGCTGCTGATCACAGCGTGAGTATAAGTAGGTAGCAGATGCAGCGCATATTCAGGTTTTCGCCTCCGTTCCCTCCTTCAGGGAACGAGGGTTACATACGTAACCGAGACGTTCCTTTTCAGTCGGTCACTCTCGACGTCACGTCGGAGGACCGACGAATTGGGATCCTACAAAAGGCCACAGCTACTGCCCCTTCCAGTGTCCTGTGGAAGCCACCTGCGCCCCTATTTTTTGGCGTAGGCCCGGGCTTCTTCACAAGAGGACCAGCTACTGCTGCTATGGCACTACCCAATGAGTAAGACTGGATAACACTGGGAAAACGTACCCGTTCTACTTGGAACAGGGGCGTTACGGAAGCTCGAACCTTCCCGAAGGAGGTTTCGGAAGCAATACACATATGGACATCCCTTAGGTGCATATGGAAGAATGGAGGTGATTGAACCCTCTTGGAATGGCAGAAGTCTGCCGGGGAAACACGGGCTCAAGGCTATACCGTGGACTTTACACATATGAGATCCACTTAGGTCTTACATATGGAACCCAGCCTCCTACCGGTTCTCGAGGATTCAGCGAGTGAAGGCCTGGCGCCGGACGCTCCGCCACGTCTGGCTGCCGAGGGGACGGAGGAACTCAACAGGGTCTGCTGTATGGACTCTCTGGAGTGGTTTTGCAAGCCGACCCGAAGCCGGGGCCTCTCAGTGCTTCTACCCGTTTGAGGTGAGAACACAGGAGGATACCGGCTCCACACGAAGTCTATAGAATCTAGCGAATGTGTTAGGGGTCGCCCAGCCCGCAGCCCTACAGATATCTGTCAGCGAGGCGCCACGAGCCAGCGCCCAGGAGGATGCAACACCTCTAGTTGAGTGAGCTCGCAGCCTGAGCGGGCAGGGCACACCCTGTGCCTGATAAGCCAGGGTGATGGTGTCCACTATCCAGTGGGCCATCCTCTGCTTTGAGACGGCATTCCCCTTCTGCCGGCCTCCGTGACAGACAAAGCGCTGGTCTGAGGTCCTGAAGCTTTGCGTCCGGTCTACGTAGCACCTTAAGGCTCGGACGGGACAGAGCAAAGCTAGGGCTGGGTCTGCCTCCTCCGAGGGCAGCGCTTGGAGGTTCACCACCTGATCCCTGAAGGGAGGAGCGGGAACCTTGGGCACGTAGCCGGGCCGGGGCCTCAGGGTTACCTGGGAATCAGCCGGCCCGAACTCTAGGCACAAATCGTTGACCGAAAATGCGTGCAGGTCCTCTACCCTCTTGATGGAGGCCAATGCTAGCAGGAGCAAAGTCTCTTTTCTCATTGAAAGGAACTTCAGCTCAGCCGCCTGCAAAAAGCTCAAATGGGCCCTGCTGTAGTGCCGTGAGCACCAGAGTCAGGTCCCGA